TGCGGGCCTCTCACCGTTGTGGCCTCTCCCGTTGCAGAGCACAGGCTCCAGACGGGCAGGCCCAGCGGCCATGGCTCACGGGCCCAGCCGCTCCGCAGCAATGTGGGATCTTCCCGGACTGGGACACGAACCCATATCCCCTGCATCGGCAGGCGGACTCTCAACCACTGCGCCACCAGGGAAGCCCAAAATCCATGATTTTACACCAAAGAATTGTTAAATATCTGCAAAAGGGTGGTTCTCCAATGCCAATACGTTTTCTGACTAACTTCTACCATCTATTTTCCCTTCATGTTAAAAATATAACATGCCTTTGAGGACTTTCAGGGGCTTTCCCGCAAAACTGTTAACAATGATTTTATGACTTAACTTTTACTAAAATGAATCCTAGAATTGAATATATGTGGGACTATGGAGACTAGGGAAATTTTTCACATATTTTCACAATTTCAAAACACTCCTGGGATTTCCCTGGCGGTCCAGTGGTTAGCACTCAGCGTTTTCACTGCGGTGGGCCCAGGTTCAATCCCGCAAGTCACACAGCATGGCCAAAAATAAATAAATAAAATAAAATAAAATAAAAACAAGAAAGCAAAAAATTCCTAACATGACCAACATACCTGAGATGATAGCCTGTTGATCTAGCTTTTCAAGAAGAATGTTTCTGATCTTCGTATCCCCAGCCAGAGTGAAAGTATAAGCTAGTAGGGCCTGTGTGTAGGGGTTGGTGGTGAAGACGGAACTCCTGAGACACTCCAGACCCTGACTCACCATCGTGTCCTAAAAAGTGAAGATGAAGAACTGAATTTATAAGGCATTCCTTTTAAAAGGGGCAGTGATAAGGAAATCATCATATCCTCTTTTGAGTTTAAAAGGCTGGCTAGGGACAAAAAGAGGTGACTTTCTCTAGAAACAGGCATATCAGGAGAGTGTCAAGGGGAGGAGCTAGAGAAACTCACATCTGTGGTCTTTCCCATCTCCAGCAACGCAGCCGTGATGTAGGCAGTCAAGGAGACCTTGTCATCAACTCCACCCTGGATGGAAACGGAGATAGGAAGTCAGGGCAGCAGCCAGCACATGAAGAATTGCATGCACATTGCAAAAAGGTGTCCCCTCTGAACGGATGAATTTTTTTTTTTTTTTTTTTAAAAGCACTCCTGGGACTTCCCTGGTGGTCCAGTGGTTAAGACTCCGAGCTCCCAATGCAGGGGACCCGGGTTCCATCCCTGATCAGGGAACTGGATCCCTCATGCCTCAACTAAAGATGCCGCATGTGGCAACAAAGATCCTGAGTGCTGTAACTAAGACCTGGCACAGGCAAATAAATAAATAAATTTTTTTTTTTTTTTAAAGTGCTCCTTTCCACAGACTGACCGCAGCCCCAAGCCTCCAAGACACACAGTGGAGGGGAGAACTGGCTGGACTTCAATAACTGCACAGCCTTATACGGTAACCTGCAAGAAGTAACATGAGGTCTTCAGCTCTGAGTGGGTATTTAGGAAACCCAAGATAAGGTGTTAGGAAGGATAACAGGTTTAAAAAAAGCGGGGCGGGGAGGTGGGGTAAGGAGAAAATCTCTTATTCTCAGATTTTTTACTGAATCTGAGCTTCCCCCAAATGGACGTTCCCCTCGAGTGGCATAAAGCCCAGCTTCTTCTCCAGGGGAGAATAGGTAACACCTTCCTTGATTAATGCCTTTCACAGAAGGATATTAGCAATTTAAAAAAATATATATATGTAATCTAAATTACTGTCTTTGTTCTATAGATAAGAGTACCAACACTTAAAATGGATAAATAGTTTGTTCAAGAATACACACTGTGGGCTTCCCTGGTCGCACAGTGTTTAAGAATCTGCCTGCCAATGCAGGGGACAAGGGTTCGAGCCCTGGTCCGGGAAGATCCCACATGTCGCAGAGCAATTAAGCCCGTGTACCACAACTACTGAGCCTGCACTCTAGAGCCCGTGAGCCACAGCTACTGAAGCCCGCGCACCTAGAGCCCATGCTCCGCAACAAGAGAAGCCACCACAGTGAGAAGCCCCGTGCACCACAACGAAGAGTAGCCCCCGCTCGCCACAACTAGAGAAAAGCCCGCGCACAGCAACGAAGACCCAATGCAGCCAACAAAATAAAATAATAAAATAAATAAATTTATATTAAAAAAAAATACACAACTAATAAGCTGAAGGACTGGGATTTGAACCCAGTGGGTTTAACTCTGGAGCTCCCGATAAGGACCGAACCACCAAGCTTGACAACATAAATGATGGGTTTCTTGAGAGACTGGCTGGCTCTGGTAAGACAGGAGGAAGAAAAACCTCTAGGATCTTGTTCTAGTCACATCCTGGCTTGTACTACTCCCCCATATGGGGGACACTGGGAAGATCCTGCATAAGGAACACTAATGAATCATATAGAGATTTGGTTTTCAATGCTCAAGACTTTTTCTAATTGAATTTTTTTTTTTTTTTTTTTTTTTTTTTCTGCAACGCACAACATGCAGGATCTTAGTTCCCAGACCAGGGATTGAACCCATGCCCCTGCAGTGGAAGTGCAGAGTCCTAACCACTGGACCTCCAGGGAAGTCCCAGTGCTCAAGATTTTTAATCCAGGTCCTGGAATAGCAATAATGATTCCTCTAGGAAAGTTGGTACAGTCTTTCTCTCACTCGGTCTGCTCTGAATTGAACAAGCTGCCCGCACCCCGACACCTTGCTGTGTTGGGAAAGGTCAGGCAGTGCAGTGAATGGGCGGGAACAGTGCCCCTGGAATCCAAGTGCTGTGGTTCAAATTACAGTCCTGCCGCCCACTAGCATTCACCTCAGGCAGTTTACTTAACCCCTGCACCTAGTTTCTTCATCTGTAAAATGCAATTTATAATGATATGCCAGTGCTTAGCATGTTGATTTGCTGTACACATTAAATATGAATATCAGATAGAGTACTTAGTGCCTGCCAGAGAGTAAACCCCTTACAAAAGACACTGGGCTGTCTAGGAGTCCCCACCAGAGGAAATGGCTTTGCTTCAGACTTAGGGAAATAGCAAAAGGCTCAGAGATCTTCTAGTCCAGTGGTTCTCAAACTTTAGCAAGTATCAGGGTCACCCAGAGGGCTTGTGAAAACACAATTGCTGCCCTTACTCCCAGAGTTCCTCAGAGTAGGTCTGGGGTGAGAGCTAGAATTTGTATTTCTTTTCTTTTCAAGATTTTTGTGATTTTTTTTAAAAAGATTTTTAAAGTCTTTATTGAATTTGTTACAATATTGCTTCTGTTTTATGTTTTGTTTTTTTCAGCCGCAAGGCACGTGGGATCTTAGGTCCCAGACCAGGGATAGAACCCATACCCGCTGCACTGGAAGGCGAAGTCTTAAACTCTTGGACCACCAGGGAAGTCCCAGGAATTTGCATTTCAAACAAGTTCTCAGGTGGTGCTGATGCTGCTGATCTGGGGACCATACTTTGAGAACCATATTCTAGTACATATTCTCATTTTACAGATGTGGAAGCTGAATGCTCAGACTGGTTAAGAATATTGACCAAGGTCACCCAGAGCCAGGCCTGAGACCTGAAGCACTGACTCTCAGGCTGGTGCTCTCTTGATTCTGCTCACTCAGAGGTACAAGTTCCTCCCAGACACAGTAGTGGACTGTGGGCCCCTGGGCAGGTCCGCACCTTCATAGTTGTGTGAATGAGCTCTCCCACGTTGGCATAGCAGCCATTGGAGAGCTGGTTTCCCTCCATCCACCAGAGAGCATTCTGGATGTTCCTGTCATCAATGAAGATGAATCTCTGAGCCTGGTCAAAGCATTTGGTGACAAAGGCTGTCAGCCTGTATGGGTGAAGAGGGAAATGTGGCCTGAGGGTGGATTTCCAGGGGAGGGTGCAACAGTTCTACAGTTTATTCTGTTGAATGGCTCCAGAAGGGGAGTTGAAGAAACATAATGCCATAGGAAGCTTGGAAAAGGGAGGCATTAATTGGCATTCATGGGGACAAGAACTGGGAGGTACAAGGTCAGAGAGAAGAGTAAGGGGCTTGACCATACATGAAGCTGAAATAAACAGTATTAAAGTGGTAGAGGATAGAAAGCAAGAAGGAATGGGGTTAAGGGGAGAGGTAGAGGAATAATTCCAGAGGGTTCAGGAATTATGCTCTGGGCTACAGAACTCATGGGGAACTGGGCAACATTACCATGTGTTTCCATTTTCATCCTGCTCCCCAAAGGCACTGTAGGATCCGTTTCTGTGTTTGTACATCAGCTCCCTCTGGTACCCTGGGAAGCCAGATGTGGTTTTAGATGACAGTGATAACTTCATAAAACACCCCCATGGCTTTCAAGGATGAGGGACACTTCAGGGGCTGAAATTCCCTGAGTCTTATCACCGATCATAGGCGCTAGACAAGGTGTCCAAGAAGAAAGAGTGAACCAACGCACCTAGCCTCAGGAAATCCACTGCTCGAGACTTGATTTCCTCACTCAGCATCCCTGTCTTCTGCAGGTACTGCAAGACGTAAATGATGGGAGCGAACAAGAGCATGTTCTGCTCCCCACAGCCCATTGGCATCTGCACCAGACTGTCTAGGTTCTTCAGGGCTGTGCCCATGATGTCCCCTGGGATCCAAAAGGAGAGGGAAAGAAGGTGGTGGCAGAAGAAGGAACCCTTAAGAGTTATTATCATACATTTAACAAACACGTATTCATTATCATTTAGTGAGTCCCTACTCTGTGACCTTGGGGACAACAGTCTCCTCCTCGAAGAGCCCATAGGCAGGGGCGGGGGCAAACAATTACAATACATTGCAATGCTAATTTATTATAAGCAAGTATAACATATATAATATCGGGTATGTACAAGGTGCTGGAGTACACAGAGAGGTATGTAGGCCACCTGAGGGCGTTCATGGCTTTTAAGAAGCTGATGAGGTTTGTAACAAAACCTGCAATGCTTAGCCTCAATCTCTAAGTGCCTCCACTGCATATAAATACATCACCCTCCAAATCACCAAGTCTCTCCCAAACACACACACACTCCTGATACGCTTTTCCATGCTATGTCTCTTGACCCCTCCATTTACTTCACAAGCCAGTAAGCGCGACATAAGTGACTCATGAACATCTGCATTTTAGTCATTGAGCTCAATTCAAATGTGCAAATATGTACTGAAAGTCAACTGCAGGAACTGTACTAAAAACAAACATGAAAAAGACATGGCCCTTGTCCTCAAGGATCCCTCAATGCAGTGTGGAAGAAAGACAGACAGTGAGCTATAATACAGTGAGGTGAGTGCTGTACCAGAGGTATGAATCAAATACAGCCAAAACGGAGACATTTTAACCTGGAAGGGATGTGGGTAGGGGGTTAGAGTACAGAAAGAACCTAACGTGTATAGGCCTTCTACTATGTGCAAGATATTGTGCTGGGAAATTTATTGTATTTAATCTTTACACCAATCCTGAAAGGTAGGTTATTATCACTGTCTTACAGAAGGGAAAAGAAGGATCGAAATTTTGCGGGGCGGGGGGGTTTGGGGGTTTTTTTTGCGGTACGCGGGCCTCTCACTGTCGTGGCCTCTCCCGTTGCAGCGCACATCTTACAGAAGGGAAAAGAAGGATCGAAATTTTGCGGGGCGGGGGGGTTTGGGGGTTTTTTTTGCGGTACGCGGGCCTCTCACTGTCGTGGCCTCTCCCGTTGCAGAGCACAGGCTCCGGACGTGCAGGCTCAGCGGCCATGGCTCACAGGCCCAGCCGCTCCGCGGCATGTGGGATCTTCCCGGACCGGGGCACAGACCCGTGTCCCCTGCATCGGCAGGCGGACTCTCAACCACTGCGCCACCAGGGAAGCCCCGAAATTGTTCATTAACTTATCCAAGGTCACATGGCTATTAAATGGCAGAACTGGGATCCTAAGCCAGTTTGATACAACTTTCAAGCTCATGTTCTTCTATTTGCTCCCTCTCCTTGCCTAAAGAAGTGGCATGTCCTATGTAAATATGGTTGAATCTTCCCAAACCTGTATTCAAATATATGAAGTCCTCATTTTTAAATGGTTCCCACAAACATTTCGTCTCCCCTCCACCCAATTTATAGACCTAAACCTAAATACATATCAAGCTTCAACGACCTTTAACTTCCTCCTGCCCAGACTCTTTTCTGTTTTTAACCAGAGTATACGTCTATCTAATCCCATCTGTACCGCACAGGCTGTATTTGCCCACTTTGTAAAAGAAGCTCTTCTTCCTTCATCACTTCTAATCTACCATACCTTCCTCCAGGTAGGGCCATAGGCCTCAACCCATGCCACACCTTGGCAGCCTCTGGCCCCATTTTTCCTTTTTGAGCCAAGAATCTCTGGTTGCTCACCGTGAACAGAAACATAAGCCTTGGCTGAATCAGGAACAACATCCACAGGGACCTCCAGGGAGATGGATTCTGAAGCCACTTTTCCTATGAGGGGCAGAGAAAAGGTAAAACCATAAAAGGTGGAAATAGTGGGGGTTCTCACACCCAAACCACAGAAATAATTGCCATAATCCAGGGTTTTCTATACCCAGTGCTTTCCGTGGGTTGGAGGTAGATTGTTTTACCCTATTCACAGCGCTCTTTGCTGAAAATAAATTCCAGCGAGAGACAGAATTGTGCTGTACATTTTCTCTTCTTCATCCTGCCTTTCAGCTACTTGGCCCCATTGGGAATGGCACCCCTAGACTCTCCTATTTCTTCTTGTCCTGTATATTCCTCCTTTTGCCTAAGAAGATCTCCTGTTGCTAAGGGAATTCTCACACCAACCCCTCTCTGTGTTCACCCACCTTTGGGGCAAAACAGTGAGCTGTGTGTCTTCTCCACAAGGACTCCTTCCGGCTGACATGGAGAGAGACAAGGATGGGTGAAAAAACATAGATGAGTATCAGGGCAGGTGGCACTGAAGGAACAGGAAGGGGAAGGGAAACGGGGAGAAGAGGCCCTGCCTGCGCTCCAGGGCTTCACTCAGAACTGGAGAGAACAGAGCTTCTCTTTGACATTCAGAAGGACTCCATTTCAACCCAGGGAGGGGTCTCTCAGTAAAATTCTTTCTGTGCTAGAGCTAAGGATAAGTTTAGGAAACTTCTAAGAGACAGGATTGACAATGGGGTTCATGATGACAGGAAGCAGCGAATGATGACATTAGGGATTTTCTTAGGAGAAACTAACATTCATTGAGTGTCTACAAAGTAACAGGTACTGTATTAGGTACTTCCATAGACCATCAGTATGGGTTAAGCAAGTAGTTAAGGGCAGAAGGGGGTCAGGGAAGGATAAAGATGAGCTGCCTGATTGCAGTTGGAGTAAGACTGCTGCAAGAGACTAACTGACATGGTTAGACACACAATGAACATCCCTGGCTTGGTTGCTGCCTCTACCTCTGAAGCTAGGCCTGCAGAAAACTCACCTTGACCAGAACTGGTTTGATGAGTGTGTCACTCTGGCCCTTTTCTGGAACAAACCCCTTCTGGTCCCCACAGAGTTCATTTACGTCCAGAATATTAGTGCTGATGGTGAAGTTTACATGACCTGAGAAGAAAGAGGGCAAAAGGAAGACATCAGCCCTATTGGCAGAGGTACCAATGAGGTCTCTTCCCCTCTAGACTAGTGCTTCTTAAACTTAACGGCAAAACTTAACGGCATACAAATCACCTGAGGCTCTTGTCTGTTACAATACAAACTCTATTTCAGTAGATCCGGGGTGGGGCCCACATTCTGCGGTAGGTGGCCTCTAAGGGACCCCAGTGATCCCTGCCTCCTGATATTTACACTGCTGTGTAATCCCCTCTCCTTGCCTGTGGGCTGGATTTAGTGATTCGCTTCTAATGGAGAGGATAGGGCAGAAGCAATGAGATGTCACGGCTGAGCTTAGGTTATAAAAAAGACTGCAGCTTCTGTCTCAGGTGCACTCTTCCTCTCAAGCCACAAACTCTGGAGGAAGCCAGCTGTCATGTCATGAGGCAGCCCAGTGGGGACATTCATGTGATGGGCAACTGAAGGAGGCCACTAGCCAACACCTGAGGCCAAGAACTGCAGCCTTCAGTCTAACAGTCCATGAGGATCAAAGGCTTTGGAATGAGCTTGGACATGGGTTCTCTCCTGGGCAAGTCTTTGGTTGAGAACACAGCCCTGGCTGAACTTCATGAGAGACCTTGGGCAAGAGGCAACCAGCTAAACTGCACAAATTACTGACCCACAGAAACTGTGTGATAATAAATGTTTGTTCTTTTAAGCTGCTAAATTTTAGGGTTGTTAAGCAGCAGTAGATAACTAATACACCCAAAGACTGTACTTTGAGTTGCAAGGACTTAATCCAAGAGCAAATGACATCTCATAGGATTATTGTGATGATTAAATGAGTTAATTCATGTAAAACACTTAGGACAGTGCCTGGCCCATAGGAAGTATTTGACTAGTAACATATCTCTTGTCCTGGCGTAAATATTAAAATCTCCCTCTTTCACTCTCAAAATAGTCCAGTGTGGATAATGTTTTGGTCATCTACCAAAGAATATTCGCTTATTTTTTTATAACGTAGACTTAGAAGGGAGAAAAATAGAGGCAGATACAAAGAAGAGGAAAGAGAAAACAAAGCAAATACAGTAGAGGAAAGGGTAGAGTTCTCAAGTCTCTGTGCTTTCCTTGCCCATCTGCCACTTCCTTCTCTTACCCAGTTTGACAGCTGTGATATTCCAGTGATAGGATTTTGATTCATCAGCACAGAGACAGCTGGAGGCCTGAGAGTCTGTCCCTGGTTCCACCTGGTACTCCTCTGATTTAGCCAGGTTAGTCTGAACCTGAAGGGGATATTTGAGTGATAAAGGGTCGGAGTAAAGGAGACAATACACAGAGGTTTAGGGAAATATGGGCGCAGAGACACCGACATCTCATTTCTTTCTCAGGGAAAATTGGTACGCTTCCACTTTAGGGACTGACACCTGCTTCTTGCATCCCCAGCTCTTACCCGGATGCACTCCTTCAGATAATTGAAGATGGTGGCAGTAAGACGAAAGGATTCTCCACGAACCACCGAGTAAGGGAGAGTCAGATCAACAAAGAATGGCTTGAAGGCAGTCAGTCCAACAGTGGGTGAAAGACCAAAGCCTCTGGACTGGGAAGTGCAAAAAGTCATGGCCTTCCATGTGGTGATGGTATCAGGAACTGTGACGCGGACAGACTCCTTCCCTGAGTTACTGTGAGAATACAAGAACCCAGGTGAAGCAGACAGCAGGAGAAAGGCATTTGGGAATTAAGCTACAAATTTGTCTGCAGAAGTGAATATTTCGTTGCTGTTGTGCGTGGGGGAAAAAGCAAAAAGGCAACCGAAATGGTGGCCCACATGAATCTCAGAGTGTGAATCTTCGAGTGAGGATGTACAAGTATGGGAGAAGCGGGGGTGTCTGAGGATGTGAGGAGGGGAGCATGTGTGGGTGGGCATCTGTGTGCAAACATACCTGTAAGAGAGCCCAGGGCCCTCTGAATCGGTGAGAATATGCCTTCTTAGGGTTTGTCAAAATGAGGCACTAAGCAGTGGGCAAGAGCCAAACTAGTATCAAGATGTGCCTTTCCGTTTGTGTGGCCCTGCAGTGAGAATGCACTGTCTGCACTGTGCAAATGTGAAGACGTGGGAATTTGTTTTGAGTGATTGTATATAACTGTTGAAGAATCCAGGGAAAGAAACACGTTCTCATATCCCCATTAAACCTTCTTGGCTTGAGACTTAGGTTCATTAGAAATTATCTGAGTCAGTTCTCTGCTGAATCTACACGGTATATATAATTTTGTTATACCTTTTAGGCATCACTTACCCAACAGGAAACAGATCCCAGAGCCAAGTCTCCGGGAAGTACTGGCGAACCTGAGAATCCTCTGGCTGAACTGGTGGTCTCCTGTGAGTGTAAGAGGTTTCTAAGGAGACCAAGGACAAGGGAAAAAGCAGAAGACTTATGTCATGTGATAAACTGAGGTGGAGAGAAAACCAGCAAGAAATTCAGAGGGAAGCAGAGAACATCCAGTCTGAGATGAGGACAACTAGTGAGGCTGTGCTCTAGAGCTCGAGAGCCACGACTACTGAGCCCTCGTGCCACAACTAATGGAGCCCACACGCTTAGAGCCCATGCTCCGCAACAAGAGAAGCCACCTCAACGAAGAGTAGTCCCCGCTCGCCGCAAATAGAGAAAGCCCATGAGCAGCAATGAAGACCCAACGCAGCCAAAAATAAAAAGATAAATTAATTAATTAGTTTAAAAAAAGAGAGAGAGAGAGATGAGGAGGAAGGACCACTGAGGAACTGACTGGTCATGAGGCTATCGGGAAATGACAGACATGGACGTCTGGCCAGGGAATGAGTAGATAAGGGCTTCAGGCTTCAAAAGCCCTCCCCAGAGACAGAGAGAGAGTGAGATCCTAGGGAAACTGCCTTCATCTACAACCCACAATCCATTATCATTCTGGCTACTGGCTCAGTGCAAGAATAGGAGGCAAAGAGGGAGTTTTCAGAGTTCCATGATGCTAAGTATCTCAGTGAATCTGCAAGCCACAGAGGCAGCTTACCTGTCCTTGGAACTGCGATTTCTGGAATTAGGTTACGGCAATCTATTGGCTTCTTGATTTCGGCGTTGGACAGTATTTTCAGGCCCACATCCTGATACACACCAGAGGGACCAGAGAATGAAGAGTTAAGGGGGTCCTCTCCCTTACTACAAGGGCTACTGCCTTGAAATTTCACCCTCAAAGGGTTAAACTAACACATTCTTTGCCTATTAATTGTGAGACCAATACTCAGCCACCAAGATTGGTTCACTTCTATCCCATCTAGTGTGAAAGCTTTTCAATTAAACTTATTTCATTGTGTTTATATATATATATATAGAGAGAGAGAGAGAGAGAGATGTATTATGCATATGTATATACACACATATACATACGTTTTTGCAAAATGATCACAACAAGTCTAGTTAACATCCATTACCATATATAATTACGAAAATTTTTTTTCTTGTGATGAGGACTTTTAAGATCTACTCTCTAGCAACTTTCAAATATGCTATACAGTATCACTAACTATAGTCACTATGCTGTACATTACATTCCCAAGACTTATGTATTTTATAACTGGAAGTTTGTACCTTTTGACTACCTTCACCCATTTTACCCCCCTCCACCTCCCACCTCTAGAAACTACCAATCTATTCTCTGTATCTATGAGCCTGTTTTGTTGCTGTTGTTGTTGTTGTTAGACTCCACATATAAGTGAGATCATACGATATTTGTCTTTCTCTGTCTGACTTATTTCACTTGGCATAATGCCCTCAAGGTCCATCCAGGTTGTTGCAAATGGCAAGATTTCATTCTTTTTTTGGCTGAACAGTAGTATTCCACTTATTTCATCGTTCAGTATGTTTAATACTTCTTCCAAACATTAGTAACTGTATCCTTATTATTTGATTTGGACTGAACTTTCTAAGGGCAGAGACCGTATCAGCTCAATCAATTCAACAAAAATATATTGAGCATTATGAAGGATCAGGCATTATAGAGAATACAAAGATGAACAAGACCCACTTCCTGACCTCGGAGACCTCCTGGTCAGATGTGGGCTAAAGCATCCCAAACTTCTGTGGATAAAATAGGTGCAGTATCTGTCATAAGAGAGACTTCTGGTCTACCTCTCTTCATTTTTTTTTTTTTTTCCTTCTTGGCTGATCCCATGGAAGTCAATGTTTGGAGACCCCAGAGAGAGGACTAGTGTATAGCCTCAGACAGTAGGTGACTTCTACAAGCATGAGGACCAAGTGAGGCTGCCTTACCCGTCAGGAGTTTCTTTCAAGATTTTGCCCCTGCCAGTGCCCATATGACTCTGCCCACTTTATTAGATGTGGGCTTTCCTTTCCCCCTCCCACCACAATTGTTTCTATGAGAACAAAATGGGTAAGAATATTTACCTGGTAAAAACGGAAAAGATCTATGCTTTCAGAGAACCGAGGCCTCAATATGTAAGACTGCCTGCCCCAACGCTCCTCGGGCACTGCACCAATGCGGGGCTGGGAAAACTCCCATGGGGCAAACCCTGGACAGTCATCTTCAGCCACCTGATAGGGGTAGCGACCGTACCAGAAGGGGAACATATGATAGACCTGAGAAAAGACAATAAATTTTTTTTTCTTAAGAAAATAAAATATTGACATAGTGAAATCAGCTGAGAAACTTCTCTCAGATTCTCATTCTGGTGGCACAGTTTGCTGCTCTTGTATTATTTCTCTTCATTATTCCAGAATTTCTTCCATCATAAACCCTTCCTCTAGTTCATCTTTTTTCATAATCTGTCACCCTTATCTCCTATTTCATCTTTCCTGATACTGATCGCTGTGACCGTATTAACCGTGTCCTTCTCAAATCATCATTTCTTTCTCTTTTTTGTTTTCCTTTGGCCGAGCTGCGTGGCTTGCAGGATCTTAGTTCCCTGACCAGGGATTGAACCTGGGCCCACGGCAGTGAAAGCACAGAGTCCTAACCACTGGACTGCCAGGGAAGTCCCCATATCATCATTTCTACATTCATTTCCACACCAGCTTTGCTACCACCTTGTGGAGATGCAATATTTCCCTGAGACTCTCTTTCCCACTGCCTGGAATCCATCTCTTAATTCTGATGCTGTCAGTCTGTCTTCTCTGGTGACTCCCTCTTGCCACCACGTCAGCAGACCACTCACAGAGCTGTTGCTCAGCTCACTCTCTGGTCTAAGCAGCAAGACACTCTCATCCACGGCCCGGATCGCACACAGGGACTGGGGAGCTGCCTGCAGCTGCAGGTCCACATCTGCTCCTGGAAGCTGCTGGGAAGGTGAGAAGCCAAGGGAAACCTGAGGAAGAGAAAAGGATAATGTGGGGATCAGGTCAGCCTGGAGAGGAGGAGAAACAGTCATCACCCATATGCCCTAAGTATGGTCCCCAGCTCACTCCCTCATTTTTATACTGATTTTTCTTTGTAAAGTATTGCCCTTTAGAAACAGTGTCTTGTAATACAATTGGAAAAACTAAGCAGCACGGTAGAATAATGTAGAAAGTTTCAAAGACAGAAAGTAGAAAGAAAGAGAATTTGTAGAATAGCTATACAGAACATGTGACTTCCCAGCATGACCTTTTAAAAGAAGTGGGAGAGCGGGAGAGTTCAACAGACCATGCGAAAGATAGAGAACATGATATCCAGCTTCAATATTAACTCCTTCTTTCCCCACCCCTGCCTTATCTCCAACCCCAGCATACACAGGCTCTCTCTCTATGTCCAGACATTTCCCTCACCCTCTTCAACTGCCATTTTACCTGATTGTCAAAGCACATCTCCACCGAGAACTGAATTTTGTCTGCTATAACACCTCCGCCGGGAAAAATGGCATACATCACCAGGGAAGGATGAGGGGCTAGTCTGGAGTTGAAGGTCAGTGAGAGAGAGAAGGAGCTTTTCAGTCCTGAAAGGGAAGAGGGGATATTCAGGAATGGGAGTACACACTCACCTACCAATGACATCCAACCCTGTGTTTGCATTTCTTCCTGAGCCAGCTGCAGGCCTCATGGTGCAGGTTGCTTCACACTATCCTATTCTTCTGTGGTTACTGTTATGGTCTGTTCTCATTGCTCTTACTCTTGCTTCTAGTATAAGAACTATTTCTTGGACATTTGAAGTTTAAGTATTCCAAGACATGCATGAACACTCACCTTTCCTCTCAGACTTCAGGTGTTTCTGCCCCTCCATCTCCAAATTCCCTTTCCCTATTAACTAAGGAAGAGAAAAAGAAGTCATCAACAACATAGAAGTTAGAGGAGTTTAGCCTTGGCCCAATCCCTGCATCTCTCCATAAGGAGAGGCTCCTTTCGTAGTTCTGGACCCCAGGTCAGTACTTCATGGAGCATCCTTCAGCTTGTCAAATGTTGGATGGTACCAAGAGCCCTGATGACTCTTCCTCCAGTTGGAGGTCTGTGGCAACCACGGGGTGGGTGGGAGGAGACAAAGGCCACCACTGCCACGGAGCCAGAGAGAATAGATAGCTGACACCATTTCTTGAAGATCTCTAAGCTTTATTCTTTTATAATCCTTGTAACATAAAGTCTACTAAAATCCATCCTTACAACCTTTTATATAAAACAATTTTTTTTTATTGAAGTGTAGTTGATTTACTATGTCGTGCCAATCTCTGCTGTGCAGCAAAGTGACTCAGTTGTACACATACAGACATTCTTTTTTTATATTCTTTCCCATTATGGTTCATCGCAGGAGATTAGATATAGTTCCCTGTGCTCTACAGTAGGACCTTGCTGTTTATCCATTCTAAATGTAATAGTTTGCATCTACCAACCCCAAACTCCCAGTCCATCCCTCTCCCTCCTCCCTCCCCTTGGCAACCACAAGTCTGATCTCTATGTCTGTGAGTCTGTTTCTGTTTCTTACAACCTTTTAAAACTTATCACTCAATTGAAAATTCGGTGGAGGGTAAAGGGGTTGGGGATAAATTAGGAGTTTGGGACTAACATATATACACTACTATATATAAAATAAATGACCTACAAGGACATATTGCATAGCACAGAGAACTATAAATATTTTGTAATAACCTATAAGGGAAAAGAATCTGAAAAAGAATTTATATATATAAAAATTATATATACATATATATATATATACATATATATATATATAAATAACTGAATCACTTTGCTGTACACCTGAAACTAACACAACACTGTAAATCAACTATACATCAATAAAAAATTTTTTTTAAAAATTCAGTGGAAATGAGTATACCTTGAAATTGTCTTGAGTCCCTCTGACATTTGACTCTCTGGAGGAGAAATCTCTTTTTAACTCTCCCTTCCGCTTCACTCTCCCTTGAAACTTAATTTCACTGAAATGCTTTCTAAGCAGGCAAGCATCTCAGGCTCCAGTCAAGGGCTCTATGGCCAGTTTCTCAGACTATCTTCCACACTGAGCAGCCCCAACTCCACTTTTCTCCTATAGGCCTCACCACACTTCTGTCCCGAAGACAGTACATGTATTATCACTCTGCCTTATTATTTGCCACCTACCTCTCCTCATTCTGTTATTTAGGATGATTGTTTTAACTTGATGAAGACACTGTAATGGTTCAGGGGGAGAAATTCTCTCAGAGACTTTAAGGAGATGATAAGGGAATAAAGAGACTCTGGACCATGAAACCCAACGTTCACATGAGTCTAAGTTCCTCACGATCATCAAGATGACCAGTAAAAGTGCTTGCCTTTATATTTCTTTCAGTCTACAAGTTGTGACTTTATTTCCCCAGCAGAGCTGCTATCAATGTTAAGTTTTTTGTTTGTTTGTTTTGTTTTGTTTTGTTTTGCAGTACGCGGGCCTCTCACTGTTGTGGCCTCTCCCGTTACGGAGCACAGGCTCCGGACGCGCAGGCTCAGCGGCCATGGCTCATGGGCCCAGCCGCTCCGCGGCACGTGGGATCTTCCCGGACCGGGGCACGAACCCGCGTCCCCTGCATTGGCAGGCGGACTCTCAACCACTGCGCCACCAGGGAAGCCCTGTTAATTTTTAACCCTGTGTCATCTATTTAAAAATACTGACCAATGAAACACAGAATGAAATTTATTCTGAGTTGCCATCCCCTCCTCAACCTCCCTCTTACCCATCCACCGGGCTCCCTTTCAGCCCTGGTCAGCAACACTGTCTCATTTATTCCTAGTTTTATTTCCCCACACAATTTCCCTGGACTCCTGTTCAAAATCTCTTTATTCCCCATTTCCCCCCATCTTTTATACCTATATAAACACAGTGGCCACTGGCCACATGTGACTACTGGAGCCCGTGAAATGTAACTAGTCCAAACTCCTTTAAGTATAAAATACATACTATGAGTTTCAAAGATTTGCAATGCAGATGAAACACAGAATGTAAAATATCTATTAATAATTTTTTATGTTGACTTCATGTGGAAATGATCATATGTTGGATATACTAGGTTAGACAGAATATATTTTAAAAGTTAGTTTCCTCTGTTCTTTTAATTTTTTTAATGTGGCTTCTAAAAATTTAGAAATTATCTACGTGGCTTGCATTATATCTCTATCCAGACTGTCTGTTCACACCGTCTAGCTCACTGTCTTTATTCCCTTTCCTTCCCAACACACTCTCACCCATCCCCATTTCCCAGTCTCACATAGTAGGAGAAGATGACTTCCTGGTCAGGTTCTGCATCAGCTGGATCGATGTAATACTCCACCAGCACTTCCTGGGGCTGGCCACATTCCAAGATACCATTTGGCTGCTGGAGGGCAAGGAAGCTGTGAGTTGTGCTGTAGAAGGGTTCCAGGAACAGGTAGACATTGTCGTAGTAATGAGTCACTTCTTCTGAATCATATGCCGTTTCTTCCAATTGGAACCTGCCCTGAGAAAGAGAGAGAGAGAAAAAAAGGCCTTAAAATTCATGTACCCCAACCGTATTGACCCCACGGACTTGTTATGATTCTCAAATCTGTACTGCCTAAGAGTGGCATGTAGATATTTCACTAGAGGTTCAACCAAGAATATTTGAGGAATCCATAATAGTGGTTATATGCAGCAGCATGTTGGTACAAAGGGGAGTAAAATAAGGGCTGAATTATAGTTGTCAGGAAGTAGGAAATTGTGGATGATATACCTTCACAGACTGAAGCAGGGAAGAGATAACTATGACTAAGAAATTAAAGGAGATGTCTCAGAGGTAAGAAAACTAGGTATAGAGGATAATAATCATTTCTACGTGGAGTGATTGAATGATGCCTAGAGTACAGAAATACATAAATTAGCCACAGCAGAAATAATATGTATTTGCTTGAGTAGTGTAGCTGGATGATTGCATTAAAGGCTTCAATTCTTCATCCCTCCCCATAGCAACATCCTTTTTTATAGTTTTTTTTTTCTTAATTTTATTTATTTTATTTGGTTGCACCAGGTCTTAGTTGGGGCAAGCAGGCTCCTTAGTTGCGGCGTTCGAACTCTTAGTTGAAGCGTGCATGTGGGATCTAGTTCCACGACCAGGGATCGAACCCAGGCTCCCTGCATTGGGAGCGCAGAGTCTGAACCACTGGACCGCCGGGGAATTCCCAGGAAATACTACTTTTTACATTTAATAGTGGCATATTTATAAATAGAATTATTAGGATAGGCTGTTGTCACATTCGTGACAGCTGACCTGGTTATTGGGAGCCCAGAGTCGGAACCGCTGCACCACCAGGGAAGTCCACTTTACCAAGTGTGCCCTTTTAGTCTAACTGTGGACCTACCACGTGACTTGTTCTTGGGAATGGGTGTTAGCATACGCAAGGTAAGTAGAGGCTTAGAAAAGCCCTTGCACGTCTGCTTTCGCTCTTGCACGTCTGCTTTCGCTCTTGCATCTCTTCACTGCCATGGGAATATACCTGGGCTAGCTCGGTGGATCGTGAGACGTGTGGAGCGCCAGCCTACAGTCAGCTGACCCACAGACATAAGGAAGTCCACCAAGATCGGTAGAGCTGCCCTTCTGTCTACCCAGCTACAGGAGCAATAAACGCTTCCTGTTGTGTACACTAAAGTTCTGTAGTTGTCTGCTAAGCAGTAGTGTGTGGCACTTGATAACTGATACAAGTAACCTTCCCTATAAGTTATGCAAAACCTAGAATTCTCTTCTTTGTTATTTTAATGAGTAATAGAAAGAGGGAAAAGGGGAATAGGAGGAAGATGACTCTGAACCACTTTTTCCTCCCTAATCTGATTTCAAATAAAGGATCAGATAGAGATGGAGTTAAGTTATAAAATGAATTAATAGAAATAGCAATTTTTATCTGAAGGTCATTTATTTGATTGGTATTAAAAGTGGGATCTAAGAAAAACTTTTTGTCAGCTGAAGGGCAGGACTGGTGAATGGGGGGAGATGGAATTCCCCAGGGGTGGTGGGTGGGTGGTGTAGTGGGGGGAAAAGGAAAATTTTGACGTTTTCCTTCAGGGAGGCCTTCCTTCCTGGAAAGGCTGGACCTCCCAGTGCTTACCTCCAGAGAAATGCCTTTCCCGTCCCAATTAGCCGTGTCCAGCTCGAAGGCAGCAAGACCTTCGTCGTCAGTCGTTAGGGTCTGCTTCATGGTTCCTTTTTCGCCACGAATCATCAGAAACACTGTATGACGCTTGAGGGGGGAGTCATCATGGCCCCTAACTCTTATCTGAGGGGTGAAGGTCATTAGGGCATTAGAGTCAGGTTTAGTGTAAGTTTGAAACTGTAAGAATACATTTCAGGAAAGAGTCCAGAGAAAGGTAAATGTGATCCAGGGGTTGGAAAGTAGGATCTATGAGGAATTGAGAAACACACAGAAGTAGCTTGGCCTGGAGCAGAAGCAGATTTGCCACATGGGTTATGAAGCGTCAGGGCCCTTCATTTGCATACACCCCTGCCAAGGCTCTGTACATTTTTTTTTGCTTTCATTTTCCTACAGAGAGACCCCTTCCACTCCTAAATTGTATAATCCTTAGGCTCTAAGAAAGTCTGGATCTACTCTTGGTCTAGAGAAAAGATGACTAAGGAATAAATGGATCTAAATATGTACAACATTCTTGTGTTCAGCAGTTGTTTGGGAAGTGAAGAAAGCTAAGCTGGAGAGAGGGGTAGATTGCTAGGAATCAGCAAGAAAACACTACCAATTTTTAAATCTCTAAAAACAATGCTTAAGGAGCTATAAATGGCTCTCTGTCACAGGAAGCTTGATATTAACCTTGCCTAGATGCAGAAGCTCAGACTAGATGATCTCTCCAGATAACTTGCAGCTCTAAAATTCAAAGATTTAAACATGAGAATGTGAACCCCTGGCATGAGGAAGAGCACTGAAGTCACATTAATATTCAAGGCACGTGTCATATGAGATGAAGGACACACAGTGCAAGGAGTTAAGCACATACTCGAGAGGCAGGCTGCCTGGCTTTGATCATAGTTAACACTTACGAGCTTATGACCTTGGGAAAATCACTTAACCTCTCTGTGCCTCAGCCTCCTTATTTGTAAAGTGGGGCCAATAATAGTGCCTAACTCAGGATTGTTGTAAAGATTGAACAAGTGAATACACATAAAGTACTTCGAACAATGCTAAGTTAGCTCTTATTATATGTGTACAGGAAGGAGGTGACAGTGGATGGTTAAGCATTCTTTTGTCTGTGCAGAGACAAGTTTTAACATACCTTTCCACTGAAGGGGAAATTAGGGTAATAATAATAATTGGTTTCTTCAAAGGTCATTGATCCCACTTGTGGAGAAATGTAGATATCCCTAGTGGTATTGGCCTCCACTCCTGCAGAGGGAAACCAGATGTATGATGATCTAAAAACATGATATCCTCACCTTCACGTTTAACATAAAATCCCTGAAAGGATGGTGCCACTGGAAGTAGGAAGCTGAATATCTTTCTGGCCAAAGATCCAAACCAACTCCTCCTCCCCAGACTTTTGGGAGAAACAGGGAATGGATGGCAGAGGGAATCTGGCATTTCCCTTTGACCATGAACTAGGAACAGAGTCCCTTCCAAACAGTGATGAGGGTGGGTCTCGACTCCTCTGAGTAGGTCTGTCTCTGGGACAGCTCTTCCCCTTTCTCTTTTCTTAATGAACCAAGGAGCATCTCACTTACCTGTCCCTTCTTCCACCATAGTAGCCACGATATTGATGCCCAATCCGCAAGAACGTCCAGTGAGGCTGAAGGTAGACATGGCCACAGAAGCTGAGAGGCATCCTGCTTTGTCAGTCTAATGACACAATCAGAGAGAGAGAGAGGGAGAGAGAGGATGAATAACCTAATCTTTACTTCCATTTCATGATGTCCTGTAGAAGAAAATAATTTCTCATCTCTACACTTTCATTTCTCCACTTTTACGATAGAAACCCCATCCCATAACATGAAGTATATACCCACACATATATAATCATAAAGCAACTTGGAAGTTCCAAGATATGAGGAGAAAAGAACCCACTTCAGAACAGGAAAATTTTATCTCCCAAGGGTTTAGGTTAATTTTCTTGATTCCAAGGCAGATTCTAAAAGGCTTTATCTTTTGTGGGGATAAAAAAGACTGCCTTGTTCTTTGGAACTGGGATAATAACCATGTGAAATGCTTTCTACTTTGGATGTTTGTTTGTTTGTTTGTTTTTAACCACTTTTCTATATTGGTGCTTACTTACTTACTCTTTAGGACATAGGAACTATGGTTCCTTTTCTACATCCCATTTACTCACCTTTCCAGAGATATTCTTGCATCTGTCAAGTAGGAGTTCCCCTTCTGGTCCTGGAGGCCAGTAATTATATGCCTTTTGACACACTGATACATGCACTATCCCTAGCACGGGCTTTCCATAGGTGTACCTAACCCAGAAAAGCATGAGAGTCAGAGTTGGGCAATTCTACTTACGATCCAACCCTCCTCCTCCAAACACCACTTTTCCTTCTCTCTCACATTCCCACCTCTGGAAGTACTCTGACAGTCCTAGCCTTCTCCAGCTCTCATTCACATCCCTGCTTTGCTCAAAGCCTTAGAGTATTGCCATTTCACAATAAATACCATCCAAAGGACAACAACAGTGTCTTTCTTTTTCCTTACTCCTATTTCCCCATGGGATTCAATATTGTGCTCTGTACAAAGGAGACACTAAATCAATAATGCTGGCTGAGAGAGCAGAGGAAAGTAAGGACAGAAGCACAATTAGAACATGTGTTCTTGCAGAACTCTTGACTCTGGACTACATAAAGCATCCCAAGGTTTAGCTGCTACCTCCACAATCCCTCTTTCCATAACACTCCCTCACAACATCTCTCAATATAGCTTTAATCCTCACTGGATCCAGAGCTTTATTCTTACCTACAGCAAATTTTCACTAAGAAAGAGTCGTCTACCGTTGATAACTGTTTGGGTTCCACCACTTCCAACTTAAACTTAGGCAGCACTGGAGAGAGATGGAAAACGAAGAGGAAGAAGATTTTACCATACAGGTAGTGGTCAAAAAGAGGTAGTTTAAAGTAGAGGGGTATAAAGCAGTGATAATTAATTAGCTAATTAAATTAACAGGGCATTATTAAGGTAAAATGCTCCTGAAGTTATCAGCCGGTTTACCACTAAAAGGAATAAATAATCCCTCTGGGTGTTTTGTTTGTTTTTTTTTTTACGTAAGAAGTGGATTTATTTAGAGAGAAACACACTCCACAGATAGAGTGTGGGCCATTTCAGAAGGCGAGAGGCCCAAGAATATGGGGCAGTTAGTTTTTATGGGCTGGGTAATTTCAAAGGCTAATAAGTGGGAGGATTATTCCAACTATTTTGGGGACGGGGCAGAGATTTCCAGTAATTGGGCCACTGTCCACTTTTTGATCTTTGATGGTCGGCCTGGGAACTGTCATGGCTCTGGTGGGTGTGCCACTTAGCTTATGCTAATGTGTTACAATGAGCGTATAATGAGGCTCAAGGTCCACTGGAAGTCAAATCTTCCACCATCTTGGACCTAGTTCCATAGTAGATTTTACTTCCCTTTTGCTGATTTTGACACAAGATTATGTCCACCACTTTGACCTACTAATTCTCCCACCTACCATATTCTTCCACACTGAAGGTGCCAAAGGCCTTGCCCTCTGCCACAGCCACACTGTAGGTGCCTAGCGTCGCCTCTGGTGCCAGTTGGAAGGACAGGTCTACAATGCCTTCCTTGGGTACCACGTTCAGCCACTGTGCAATCCTATTGTCGTTTGGATCCTGTGTCCATTAAAAAGAAATCCCATGACGTGCCTGCCTCTTTGATTCCCACCCTGCACTGCAGAAAGCAGGTAAAGAAGCAAAAAGAACCTAAAGAATCCCACCCATTGCTCGTGACCCCCATGGTCTGTGTCCAGGAAGAAAAGGGCCCTTGTGGATTCAAACAATCAGACTGAGTCCTTTAAAATGTTATCATGTTTCAGAAAGTGGGCTTTAGGGTGCCCTTTACAAAGAGTGATTATTCTTGGTCCCTTAAGTGGGGCAATGCTGAGGGGACTGATGCTAAGATACCTGAATGATAGGTAATTTGACAGAAAAATGGAGGGGAAGCTGTGAGGAATTTCGCCTTCTTAATACTTCTCACAGCTATTCTTGTCATGTTCAATGGTTGAGTGTCCGTGATAATAGCCAACCCAAAGACTAAGAGTACAGAACAAACCCTCATTGGATTGATACAGTGCAGAGAAGGTACAGGCATCAGAGTAGGAAGGTTCATCACTATAGAGGTTGGTGTCCTTATTTACAGAGGTTTAACACTGAGAGGGGCAGGGTGGGCAGAGGCAAGAGAACAGGCACAGCTTAGGCGGGATTGCAGGTACTTTGTGCTGGTGCAGAGTCTCAGGCTCTGGGCCAAGATCCCAGAGTCGTTGCTGACTTCAAGCTTTAGCACCAACCACCTTCTCCACAACTGACAGAAAAGAAAGAGAAACTTCTACTTACTTGCAGTTCCACAACGGAGTACTGAAAAGGAAAACCAGATAATATGGGTTAAAGAAGAACCATCAATAAGGATAGGCTTGCTGAAAGCAAAATGTTCACGAAGGCCTCTCTCTTCCTCTGTTGCCCACTCCTTCCTTTCTAAATGTCTCTTTTGTGCCCTGGAAAGAGTAACAGTGGGGCAAAGGCTTACTGGCTGGCGGAGGAGAAAGAAAGCTTTCCTAAAAGGATTGCCAGTCTCCAAATAATTTGAAGAAATGGGACTACAGACCCTCAGCATCTGTCAGTGCTCTGTGACTGAGCTCTTCCACAACATGCCCTAAGAGAAAATATTATTATCTGGAGGCTCCACCATGTTGAAACCTCTTCTTGGTAGCTGACGTTCTCCTGGCCTCCTCCTCCACTTTCTGAGTGCCAGTGGGCAGGAATCTTTCAAGCATCGCAAAATAATCTCTTAAAAAAAAAAAATGTTTAAAAGAGCTCCATCAAAGGATCACGTACCATTTCCTCAAGCAAATGGATATTAAAACCACTAAGTTTAATTGGAGAATGAGTCATTGTGCTAGTTGTCAAAGTGTCACCCCAAAATTACTTGCTAGTTTCAAAAAAAGGACACACCTTATCATTGGAGAAATTAGGCTGTCATCACCTTAACTAAGTAATCAAACTCACCATCACTAATAATGGGACAACGTGACATTATGTGCCTCCAGAGATGTATTTGAGGTTCACGGCATTACCTATTTTTCTTTCACCAAATATTTTTACCTAAAGTTTAGCTTAAACCTAATTAAGACTTCAGAGCTACTTCCAGAAGATAAAGGAACAAATTATATTACACAGTTAGGAAATAATCAGGCAAATCAAGAATATCAAATATTCCATAAGACAACTAGGCTTCCTCAAAAGTCAATATCATATTCCAGAATGCGGACATTCTATAAGTCATCTAGCCTGATCTCTCTCTCACTCTCTCTCTCAAAAAAAAAAAAAAAAAAAAAAAAAAAAAATCAATCTAATAAGAAAATAAGGGGGATCTGTTTAGATTAAGAGACATTTTTAAAATGTAACAATCAAATGTAATGCATGAATTTGATCAGATCATAGTTTGGAAAAAAAAACTCAGTTATTTGGAAAAATTAGAACTGAACATTAGATGATATTAAATAATTATTGTTAATTTTCTAAGGTGTTATAATAATATGATGATTATTTAAGATACACTTTTAAAAGATGCAGGCACCTAAATAAATAAAGCAAATATTAACAGACATAAAGGGAGGAATTGACAGTAACACAATAATAGTAGGGGACTTTAACACCCCTGTACATCAATGGACAGGTCATCTGGAAAGAAATGCAGTAGGGAAACAGTGGCTTTAAATGACTTATTAGACCAAATGAACATATATATGTTCATATATATATGAACATATAGAGAGATATATTTATATATATAATATAATATAGAACATTCCATCCAAAAGCAGCCAAATGCACATTCTTTTCAAGTGTACATTGAACATTATAGCATGATAGACACATGATAGGCCACAAAAAGAATCTCAATAAATTTAAGAAAACTGAAATCATATCAAGTATCTTTTTCAACCATGACACTATGAGACTAAAAATCAACGACAAGATAAAAACAGCAAAAAACATAAACCCGTGGAGGCTAACCAACATGTTATTAGACAACCAATGGATCACTGAAAAAAATCAAAAAATAAAATACTTGGAGACAACAAAAACAAAAACACAATGATACAAAATCTATGGGATGCAGCAAAAGCAATTCTAAGAGGGAAGTTTACAGTAATACAAGCCTACCTCAGGAAATAAGAAAAATCTCAAAAAAACCCCACAACCTAACCTTACATCTAAAGGAACTAGAAAAGAAGAACAAACAGAACCCAAAGTTAGTGGAAGGAAATTATAAAGATCAGAGCAGAAACAAATGAAATAGAGGCAAAAAAAAAAAAAAAAAAGAAAGAAAGAAAAGATCAATGAAACTAAGAGCTGATTCCTCAAAAAAGATAAACAAATTGCTAAGCCTTTAGCCAGACTCATCAAGAAAAAAAAGAGAGGGGCCCACATTAATAAAACCAAAAATGAAAAAGGAGAAGTGACAATCAACACCTCGGAAATATAAAGGTTTGTAAGACATTACCATGAATAATCACCCATCAATAAAGTGGACAACCTAGAAGAAATGGACAAATTTCTAGAAATGTACAATCTCCCAAGACTAAACTGGAAGAAATAGAAAATATGAACAGACCAATTATCATTAATAAAATTGAATCAGTAATTTTGTAAAAACTCCCAACACACAGAAGTCCAGGACCAGATGGCTTCATAGATGACTTCTATCAAACATTTAGAGAAGAGTTCTCAAACTATTCCAGAAAATTGCAGAGGAAGGAATGCTTTACAACTTATTCTATGAGGTCAGCATCACCCTGATACCAAAACCAGACAAAGATATCACAAAAAAAGAAAATTAAAGGCCAATATCACTGATGAACATGGATGCAAAAATCTTCAATAAAATGTTAGCACACCAAATCCAACAGTACATTAAAAGGATCATACAACATGATCAAGTGGAATTTATCCTAAGGATGCAAGGACGGTTCAATACCTACAAATCAATCAATGTGAAACACCAAACAAATTGAAGAATAAAAAGCATGTGACCATCTCAATAGATACATAAAAAGCTTTTGACAAGATTAAACATCCATTTATAATTAAAAAAAAAAAAACTCTCAACAAAGTGGGTATAGAGGGAACATACCTCAACATAATGAAGGCCATATATGACAAGCCCACAGCTAACATCATACTCAACAGTGATCTTCCTCTAAGATCAGGAGCAAGACATTGATTCCCAAAGAAGTAAAACTGTCATTGTTTATAGACAGCATGATACTATACATAGAAAATCCTAAAGATGCCACCAAAAAAAATAACTAAAACTCACCAATAAATTTGGTGAGGTTACAGATACAAAATTAATATACAGAAATCTGTTTCATTTCTACACACTATCAGAAAGAGAAATTAAGAAAATGATCCCAATTACAATCACATCAAAAAGAATAAAATACCTAGGAGTAAATCTGAGGAAGTAAAAGACCAGTACTCAGAAAACTCTAAGACACTGATGAAAGAAATTGAAGATGATACAAACGATGGAAAGATATAACATGCTCATGGATTGGAGGAATTAATATTGTTAAAATGACCATACTACCCAAGGCAATCTACAGACTCAATGCAATCCCTATCAAAATACCAATGGCATTTTTCACAGAACTAGAATAAATAATTCTAAACTTTGTATGGAAACACAATAGATGCCAAATAGCCAAAACAATCTTGAGAAACAAGAACAAAGCTGCAGTCATCATGCTCCCTGATTTCAAACTATACTACAAACCTATAGTAATCAAAATGGTATGGTACTGGCACAAAACCAGATACACAGATCAATGGAATAGAATAGAGAGCCCAGAAATGAGCCCACACATATATGGGCAATTAATCTACAACAAAGGAGGTAAGAATATATAATGGGGAAAAGACATCCTCTTCAATAAATGGCGCTGGGAAAGCTGGACAGCACATGCAAAAGAATCAAAGTGGTCTACTCTCTCACACCATACACAAAAATAAATTCAAAACGGATTAAAGACTTAAATGTTAAACCTGAAACCATAAAAATTTTAGAAGAAAACATAGGCAGTAAACTCTTTGACATTGGTCTTAGTAATTATTTTTTGGATATGTCTCCTCAGGTAAGGGAAGAAAAAGCAAAAAATGTTTAATGGCACTACATCAAACTGAAAAGCTTTTTCACAGTGAAGGAAACGATCAACAAAATGAAAAGGCTGCCTACTGAATGGGAGAAGACATTTACAAATGATATATCTGGTAAAGGGATAATATCCAAAATATACAAAGATTTCATACAACTCAACATCAAAAAAAGCAACCCAATTAAAAAAAAAAAAAAATGGGCAGGACTTCCCTGGTGGCGCAGTGGTTACGAATCTGCCTGCCAATGCAGGGCACACGGATTCAAGCCCTGGTCCGGGAAGATCCAACATGCCACAGAGCAACTAAGCCCATGTGCCACAACTACTGAGCCTGTGCTCTAGAGCGCCACGAGCCACAACTACTGAGTCCATGCACTGCAACTACTGACCTGCATGCCTAGAGCCCGTGCTCCACAACAAGAGAAGCCACCGCAATGAGAAGCCCGTGCAGTGCAACGAAGAGTAGCCCGTTCGCCACAACTAGAGAAAGTCCACGCCGCAATGAAGACCCAATGCAACCAAAAAATTTTAAAAAGAAGATGTAATATATATAGATATATATAGATATATATGTATATATATAATGGAATATTACTCAGCCATAAAAAAAAATGAAATCTTGCCATTTGCAACAACATGGATGGACCTAGAGGGCATTATGCTAAGTGAAATAAGCCAGACAGAGAAAGACAAATACTGTATGATTTCACATATATGTGAAATCTAAAAAACAAAACAAATGAACAAGCATAACAAAACAGAAACAGAGTCATAGATACAGAGAACAAACTGGTGGTTGTCAGAGGGGTGTGGGGTGCAGAAAGGAAAGAAATAGTCGAGGGTGATTAAGAGGTGCAAATTTCCAGCTGCAAAATGAGTCATGGGTATGAAATGTACAGTGTGGGGAGTATAGTCCAAATCTATGTAATATTTTTGTAGGGTGACAGATGACAACTGGACTTATGGAGATCAGTTTGAAATGTTTAGCAATATCAAATCATTATGTGATGTAACAGGTACTAACATAGTGTTGTAGGTCAATTATACTTAAAAAACAAACTCATAGAAAAAGATCAGATTTGGGAATTCCCTGCGGTACATGATTAGGACTCGGCGCTTTCACTGCCGAAGGCCCAGGTTCAATCCTTGGTCAGGGAACTAAGATCCTGCAAGCCATGTGGCGTGGCAAAGAAAAAGATCAGATTTTTTTGCTACCAAGTCAGGGGATGGGGGGATGGGGAACTGGATGAAGATGGTCAAAAGGTACAAACTCCCGGGCTTCCCTGGTGGCGCAGTGGTTGAGAGTCCGCCTGCCGATGCAGGGGACATGGGTTTGTGCCCCGGTCCAGGAAGATCCCACATGCCGCGGAGCGGCTGGGCCCGTGAGCCGTGGCCGCTGAGCCTGCGCGCCCGGAGCCTGTGCTCCGCAACGGGAGAGGCCACAACAGTGAGAGGCCCGCGTACCACACACACACACACACACACACACACACAAAAGTACAAACTTCCAGTTACAGGAAACGTAAGTACTAGGGATATAATATATAACCTGATAAATATAAGTCACACTGCTGCATGTTATATATAGAAGTTGCTAAGAGATTAAATCCTAAGAGTTCTCATCGCAAGGAAAATTTTTTTCTACTTCCTTAACTTTGTATCTATATGAGATGATAGATGTTCACTAACCTTATTGTGATACAGTACTCTATGTACTGTATCATACAGTACTGTATGCCAATTATATCTCAATAAAACTGGAAAGTAAAAAACAGTTATCTCAGGTAATAGCTCTCTTTCTGGCCCAATCCCACCCATACACACAACCCCACCCCCATCTACATTCTTTTAGGCATTTAGAAGTAAAAGTTTCTCCTGACTCTCTGGGACCTTGATTGCCTTCAGCTCAAAATAATCCACATGCCAAAGTGGCACATTTGGGGTGGCAGTTAAGGAGCTGGGGAGAATATTCTGCCCTCCTTCCTGAAGGGAAGAATAGGACATGTACAAACCGGGCTCTTTACACAATAAGGAGGCAAGTATCACTGAGATTACTGTGGATTGCTATAAATTCTACAAAAAAACACAACAAACAAAAAAAACCAGTTCCTCAGATAGCAAAGTACTTTTCTCACACAGGGAGTCAAGAAGCAGATTTGGACACCAGTCAGGCAGAAGCAGTCTCTGGAAGGAAACAAGTGTTCAACTAGGAAGATAGCATTTGCACTGGAAGCTGCCTGAGGCTTCTGAATAAATGGGTGTAGCAACCAAGTTAGATAGAATCAGTATCATGTATGCTTCAGTTGCTTGAGGATAAAATCTTGAGCTTTGTAAACTCACAATTTTTGCCACTCTGTTACCTAGTAAAAAAATGTTTAGTTAATTTCAGTGTTTCATTTGGAGTTTCCAATTCAGTGTTTCAAATATTCAGTATTTCAAGTTGGAACTTGGAGCAGGGGCTGACTAAAGAAATGGTGTGAGGAGGAAGGAGTAATTTGACAACAGAAATAGAGCATAGCTATGGAAATCAGAGCACCTCTCAGCAATTCGGCTCAATTTGAGCAGAGGAAAGATAATGTAAGAGGGGCAGCTAATGAGATCAACCTCCAAGGGGCAGGAGAGTCTAAAATAACTGGCTGTGGCTACACTTTAACCCTTGCCTACCCTCTTTTCAGCTCTGGAATCAACACTCTGTTTAAGAAGTAAGTACTTAATATTACACCCAACTGATAAAGAATACAGCTGATACATGAAGAAACTGAAAAGAATTCTAAACCGGGAAAGAAAGTAGTGGTTGGAGGAGGCTACCAATTAATAATAAGCTTATGGCTTCCCTGTGCACTGGGAAAGGAAAGAGCAGTTCTGAAAACATGGAGATGGAAATATAAGTAATGCTTTCTCCAAAATTATCTTTAAAATTTTCATTTGAATACATGGGCTGTAACTGAAGGAAAAAGAAGACAGCCAGGAGTGTCTGAGAGGTCTTTCAAAAGCACTTAGAAATGACACAAGAAAAAAAAAAATTGAGAGCAAACCTATCATAAGGCTAATGATTCTAGCGATCAGGTAGTTCAAGGAAAATTTAAGTATTCACCAAATGTTACCACATTTTTACCTTTGGCAACAGAACTTTACCTTAAAAGAATTGTCTGCTCTATAAATTACCTTGCCTCATAGCAAAAAAAAAAAAAAAGACGGTGGGGGTGGATATTCTTCTTTCTTCCTTCTGTTAAGTACACTCCTGAATTATTTCTTAGTATTTGAACTGCAAAGCCACTAGGTGTCACTCCTGGAGGGAAAGTCTTGAAGTTTGCAAGAAACTCTTTTAGAAAACAGCAGCAAATGGAACCATCTCTCAGCAATGTTAACCTAATTGATATTCTCAGCTATCAAACATGGCAGCTAGATGCCTCTGCATGTTTTCAGGCAGACAAGGGCGGGGATGATTTGGATGTGTGCCCGGAGTCTAGAACTCCAGTTCCCACAAGCGTTCTGCACTTAGAGGGCCTCCCCACCTGGAAAGATCTCTTCTCCTCTTCCCTCTTCTCTCTGTCAGCCCTACCCCTTTCCCTTTCCCTGTCCCTCTTCCCAACTAAATTCTCACCTGGTCATTCACTGGAACAAAGCTGCTGGTGAGGGTGACGATGCGAAAACGCACTAGAAGGAAACAGGCATCATTAGCAAAGGGGATTTTTCCCCCTCTCAGAATCTTTCTTTCTTCCACCCTTTCTGCTTCCTCACACATACTTCTTAGTCGGCAAAATCCCATCAGATTTTACTTTTGTAATAAAACCTAGTCTGACAGAGAGCTCACACCCCAAACGGTTTTTCTTCATGGCTCCTGACTTTGAAACCTCAGAATGGAATCCCCTTCTAAGGCAGAAGGAACAAATACGAATCACAGGGCTCAGGCCAAATGCCCTTGATGATGTTTTCTGATTTGTACACAAGCAGCTTGCTGTGAGAACCAGGGATCCAGTTACACCTGCCAAATTCCATTCCAAGAGAAATGTGTATTTCGTTTTATTTTATTTATTGACTTATTTGTGGTTTTGGCCACACCACTCGGCTTGTGGAATCTTAGTTCCCCGACCAGGGATCAAACCCAGGCCCACAGCAGTGAAAGCACCGGGTCCTAATCACTGGCCCACCGGGGAATTCCCTGTATTTTGTTTTAGATACACACACACAGTAGCAGCTCCACCAACTAGTCTTTTGCGTTTGTAGTACTGCATATATTCAACACCCATAACCCTTCATCCCTCCAGACCCCCCTCTCTTCCTTGGTCCATCGGCCTGCCACCAACCTGCAAAGCCCCTCTACCGATGGGTGCAGCTGTTCCCAGGCTTTTGTCTCATCCCATCTGTGTGCCTCTTACCTTGCTGCCCTGGGTTATAGACAGGTTTGTCAGTTTGTATAAAGATGCCATTCTGCTGCCTCTCAATTAGAACCTCTTTCCTCTCCTCAAAGCTGATTTTATTTCCAGTTCCTCTCACCCGGACCGTGGCTACTTCTTCTCTGCCACCAGAAGGAAGTGGTACCTGTGGCCAAGACAAGGGAGCTCTGGGAAGGAGTAGGAGCCTCTGGGGGGGAAACAGAATCAACCCGTCTCAACCCAAGAGGGAGAATCAAAGGAAAGAAATGAGTTAGATGGGGGTAGCAAGGGTAGAGCCATTAAAAAGTTGCCAGAGAATAATATCAGAAGTTACGTCCAGGAATTGAGGTTTAGGAGAGATAGGTTTAAAGGCCATGGCAAAAGTAAAATTACAGAAAACATACTTAGAGAGAAATTAAAGTGAATACCCAGGGAGGAGAACAGGAAAGTTGAGGGCTACAGTTGGGCTAAGCCTGTACTTACCGAAAAGGACTTGCAATGTAAGAGCTTCGTCTTCGATCCAGAATGTGTTAGCAACGTGTGGGTCTTGCCCTTGGTCTCCAGACTAATAGTAAATTTTACATCATCGTACCCAGGGCTCAGATCCAAACAAACCTTCTGAGTAGAAGGGAACTTAAGCTGAGCTGGTAATGTCACCAGGTAGTTTCTATTGAAGAAGCAAAAGGATTTCAGGGCAGTAATGATACATCTATTTAATACAAAATTAATCCCTCTCCTGAGCACTCAGCATATAGCAATGAATTAAACAGACCAAGCCCCTGTCTTTATGAGCCTTATTTTCTATAAGGGAGAAGCAGAAAAGTAACACATAACTCAGTGTACAGCGTTAAACCTCCCACCAGTAGACCATCATTGAGAACCTGGACCTAGGGTACCAGGGAGGAAATTAGTTCTCTTACAGAGAACAGGGTACTGGGAGGCTACTATATTTTAATACCATTTTTTTTTTTAAGTTTCTTCCTGTCATCTTACCTTTTCTCTCTGGGTAAAGGAAAAGTAAAACCAAAGAAAGGAAAAGATAAGAAGGAAATTAAAATAAACCGGAGGTTATCTCCTGTTCCCCACAGTTATATTTGAGAAGGATAGACGAAGAAGCCGCCTGCCCTAAATCAACGCTGACACCAGACACTTACAGGGGGTGTTTTTCTGCCATGGCTGGCAATAAGGCCAATATTCCTAAAAGGAGTTGAGCCCACATCTTTGTGGGTGGGACAGATTCCCCAGGACCAGGAACCAGAGGTCTGCTCACCCACTGTAGCATATATATGGAGCTATGGCTGATGCCGCAGCCAATCACCTTCTGGGGCCTCAGGCAGAGGTGGTATACCAGGGAAGGGCTTCTATTCACTTCCTCAAATTTATTTCTCCCTGAAACATTCACACTGACTCAGCCAGTCTATAAAACCTGTTTGGGGAAAAAAAAAAAACATGCTGAGTATTCATAGCGGTAAAGCTCTAAGAACAAGTTTTAGATCCTTCCCTTTTTTCTGGCTTTATTCCAAATTCCCATCCCCATTGGATCTTTTTCTCCCTTTTTATTATTCTATTAAGACTTATTTGGGGGACTTCGCTGGTGGTGCAGTGATTAGGACTCCGCCTGCCAATGCGGGGGACACGGGTTCGAGCCCTGGTGTGGGAGGATCCCACATGCCGCGGAGCAGCTGGGCCCGTGAGCCACAACTACTGAGCCTGCGCGTCTGGAGCCTGTGCTCCGCAACGAGAGAGGCCGCTACAGTGAGAGGCCCGTGCACCGCGATGAAGAGTGGCCCCCGCTCTCCGCAACTGGAGAAAGCCCTCGCACAGAAACGAAGACCCAACACAGCCAAAAAGAAATAAATTTAAAAAAAAAAACAAAAAAACTCACTCACGTAAAAAAGAAAAAAAGACATATTTGGGAGCACAGGAATAGGAGCAGTATCAATACAAAAGTCATATACATTTATCTAATTGGGAATTTTTTTAATTAATAGTAAGTATTATTGTGACTGTATGGAAATAGGAACATATAAACTCATAGAAGAAATAAAAAGTGGACAATCTTAAAGGGCAATTTCACAATACACATCAAGAGCCTTTCAGATTTGCATATTATCTGACTCCTATTCTGCGAATGTATTTTTAGAATGTATTTTTACGGGGAATGGGAGCAGGCACGTACGCAGAAAATGTGTCCACTCTGAGTTTCTTCCCATTGTTCTTTATAATGGCAAGACCTGAAAGCCACCTAAAGTATAAATTAGTGAGGATACTTTCTAGGAGCAATGACCAACCCAAATCAAGCCAACTTAAAACAAAAAAGAGTTTTGAATAACTGGGGAGGATCAGACATAAAGAAAGAACTGAACCAGAGAAACTCTGAAAACTTTATGACCTGGAATTAGAGACTTGATCCTGCCAGGACCCATTTTCCCCCCCAATCTTTCTGTCTTATTTGCTCATCTCCGGCCGCACATAGGATTTCCTTCAAGTGGTGGGAAAGATGGCAGCTGTGAGTCCTCAATCCAGAATCTCCAGCTCTAGGATCCCGGTAGATATAAATTTTCATCTAAGTTATAGAAATTTCTGAAGATTTTGTTCCTCCTTTCACATGTTCACTTCTGAATCAATCATTGTAGCCAGGCTACTATGACTGGGAGTTCCTGGATCATTCTGAGGCCTGAGTGATAGGCTACTGTGATTGACAGCCCCATAGAGCCACATGGAATTGGGGAGGAAAAATTCTCTAAAGAAAGAAGTGGGTTGTGGACTTCCCTGGTGGTCCAGTGGGTAAGACTCCATGCTCCCGTTGCAGGGGGCCCGGGTTCAATCCCTGGTCGGGGAACTAGATCCCACATGCATGCTACAACTAAGAGTTCGAATGCTTCAACCTAAAGATCCTGTGTGCCACAACTAAGACCCGGTGCAGCCAGAAGGAAGGAAGGAAGGAGGGAGAGAGGCAGCGAGGGAGGGAGGGAGAAAGGAAGGGAGGGAAGAAGAAAATCACAGTTTAAAAAAAAAGGAAGAAAGAAGTGAGTTGGGGTAAAGATGCTGGGAAAATAAAACATTAAATCTATTACAATGCCCAATAATATGAGCTTGGTTGAATAAATTGCCATATTAATACAAAGCAATTCTATTCAGGCATTTAAAATAATGTTTTCAGGACAAAAGGAATTGTTTGCAATACTAACTGAAGGGGTGGGGGGAGGAAATAGGATACAAAACAATTTTTAGGAATTTCCACTTCCTTTATAGATGTAAAAAACTGGAGAGAGCATTGCTCTCTCCCTGGCAGTGAGGAAAAGCCAGACAAACCAAAATCACAACTTTTCTTGAACCAGAAAGTTGAATCTGAGAGCTGAGTCAAGGCTGCAGCTCAACTAAGTAGCCTGAAATCTAAGGAGACACAGTTCCTCCAGAGCAGAGACTGGATGTGTGGACTGTCTCACCTGTGCCAGAACATGGGAAGTATTTGGGCCATCATAGAAGCAAGTAAGAAAAATACAGCTAAAGTTTTAATGAACTACTAAAGGCCTGTGCGGGCTTGAGTAACTACCAACAAAACCTCTGTGTGCCACAGAAGCAAGGGAAGTTTGTTGTTACTCACAGGTTCTTTTCCAAGACCTTGACCAGGTGCTCACAAGAAAGACTAGGAGAGGATGACAGACTAAATTAAGCCTCTCTTAGCAGTACAGGCAGAGTGGACAATATTATCTATCACTGCAGGAAAGGGCCCAGATGCCCATACTCTTCTCTCAAAAGTCTTAAGCCTCTGGGGGGGAGCAGCAAATACTGTTGCCCCCATTGTTCCACAGGTAAAAACCCATTGTTGCCAAGAAAAGGATAGAGGGAAAAAAATTCTACCCTGGGGGAGGGAAAAGAAACAGTCCTCAGCCAAGAGTTCTAGGCCAGTATTTTCAGAGGTCTCCTAAAACCGAAGGAGGGGCAGGAAAATCTTTCCCACACAAGACCTGCCACAGATACACAGCAGAGGTAGGCAGGGAGTAGAGGCAGGAATCCTGAGAAATCTCATTCTCCAATGTCCAGGTATATAAAAACTACCTAGAACTGAAAATGAAGAGGACCACAGAGAACCACCCTACCCCTCACCGCTACCCTAGCAAACACCAAGTAACTAGTAGTGGCAGTCTGCCACTGGCAGAGGAGCAAGAACTTGGAGAGAAACTACCTCTGTCTACTCCTACAAGGTGTATAAAGGAGGTTGAGAGTTGAGGGTGGAGAACAAACACTGAGAGATCTTTGCAGCATTCCAGACCCCACCCTACGCCTAAGATACCGAAAGAGGAATTTGAAGCTTATGGTGCACTGGACGTAATCTTGGCAATAGCAAAACCTAACTCCACCTCACCTTTTAACTAGATTGCCTCTATCCACCATGCTAAACTGCCTGAGAAGAGGCACAAATAGTGTTTACCTAAATCCCTCCTATTCTACACAAGATGTCTGGCATTCAATCAAAATTATATAATCTACCAAAAGAAAAATAACAAAGAAGACAACCACCTGTCTTCAAAATACAAAGCAATTAACAGAACCAGGTTCAGAGATGATCTACATGTTAGTGTAGAAGGACTTTAGTTAGTCAAAGAAGGACTTTAAAATGGCTGGGAGCAATCTTATAAAAGATCTAATGAAAAAAGTGGACAACATCCATGAACAGATAGGGAATTTGAGAATAAAGACCTAAGTGATACAGTCAGATAAAAATGCTGAAAATAGGGCTTCCCTGGTGGCGCAGTGGTTGAGAGTCTGCCTGCCGATGCAGGGGACACGGGTTCATGCCCTGGTCTGGGAAGATCCCACATGCCACAGAGCGGCTGGGCCCGTGAGCCACGGCCACTGGGCCTGCGCGTCCGGAGCCTGTGCTCCGCAACGGGAGAGGCCACAACAGTGAGAGGGCCACGTATCGCAAAAAAAAAAAAAAAAAAATGCTGAAAATAAAAACTATGGTATCAGAGATGAGCAGCTCCTCCTAAAGGCTCATTACTAAACCTGACACAGCTGAGGAAATAATAAACCAATATCTACCTTGAAGATAGGTCATTAGGATTACCCAAACTGAAACATCAAGAGAAAACAGGAGAAACAAATAGAACAGAGTATCCAAGAGCTGTGGGACAATATCAAATGGTTTAATGTACAAGTTATTGGAATCCTAGAAGAAGAGAGAAAGAACAAGCAGAAGAAATGTTTGAAGAGAAAACACATGAGAGTTTTCCAAAAGTAATGAAAAACATCAAACAATTGATCCAGGAATCATAGAGAAGTCCAAGCAGGATAAATGCTAAAATAAAACACACCTAATCCATCATGTTCAAACTTCTCTAAACCAGAGATAAATAGGGAGTCTTGGAGGTGGCCAGAGAATAAAAGACACATTATATATATATATATATATATATATATATATATATATATATATATATATATATAT